CACGAAATCGCATTTTTGCTGTGTTTTTTAATTATAAAAAAAGTTTTATCAGACACATTAAAAATTCATCCATACAAAATGAAGAATAAACAATTGCGGTTCTTTTGAGATATAAAACTCCTAGAAATGTTGAAAACTCAAAGAGGAGATACATTTTTTCTGTAAAAAATCTTGAATATTGGCATTTTTTGGAATATTTTCTTCCGGAAGAGGACCATAAAAAATGCTTTAACCCCTGATTAATTGTTTGGGAATCATTTGAATCGTCTGAAATCTTTACGAAATAAGATAAAAAATCTTGAAAATACGGCTTTAGGCCTGCAGTTGTGATCGCGTCAAATTTTTTTTTCGGTAGATCAATAATTAATTCGCAGTTCGGAAATGTTCTGTGGGAGAGCGTGCTGTAGGAAAAAAATCGAAAACTGGAAGGATTACTGTAGGAAAAAATATCAAAATCAAAAAGGATTACTGTAGGTGAAAAATAATCGAAAATTAAAAGGATTATTGTAAGAAAAATAATTTTAAAAAATCGAAAATTAGAAGGATTACTGTAGGATTTTTTGTATTTTTTTTTTTTAGGTTTCATGTCATTTTTCATGATTCTTAGTCATTTTTCCATGATTTTTAGCTTATTTTCCATAATTTTCGGGCATTTTTTCCATGAGTTTGAAATCATTTTTATGGTAGTTGTCGTTGTTTTATGATAACGGCGAAATTTCAATTTTCGAAAATTTCTGAAAACCCAAATTTTAATTTTTCCAGCTCGTCGAAGAACTGTCCCAATTCGAACGCGTTCAAACGACATCTCGATTCGCTGTCTACGTGGAAATGGCATCCGTCCCAATGATGCTATTCGACGATGCCAACCCACAAACTAAATCCATATCGGAGTACTGTATTCAGCAAGCAAAACAGGCTAGAGAGGAACTGGAAAGGCACGCGAAGGTGGCAATGAATATCGAATCAATGGCTAAACAATTGGCGAAGGATTCCAAAGATTTGCAATTAGATGACGTGGATTTGCCGGGGATTCGAGAAGAATTAGAATCCTATTTCTTCTATGAAAAGAGACAGATTCTGAGTACCCGAGTGTATTCTCAACAGCTAGTCCAACAGTGTTACGATCGACGGAATTTCATAATGGAGCAGATTTTCAAATCCCCGGATAAAATACAAAAATGCAAATTAAAGCTTGCTATGGATTTGGCTGCATCTCTCAATCAACTTCGTCTCGATTACCAACGTCTTCAGAATACAATTTCTGAATGTGTGGATCTTCTGGAGAAGCCGTTCCAAGAGATGAAGGACGTGGTGAATCGATGTCTTCAGAATCAAGGGCAGACTAGGAATTCAATGGAGAAATCCATGCACTTTTTGGCGCCAGAAAATCAGTTGAGAATGAAACGAACGACGAAGTCTTGTAAGAAGTTGATAGACGAATTGAATCAGGAAATTGAGCAGTTGGGATTTGTGAGAATGGGTGATACGTTGATAAGAGCGGTGCAGGATGCTAGGGAGCAGGTTCTCGAATTGAAGGAAATATCAAAGGAGGAAGAGGAAGATGAAGGAACGCTGAAGAGAGAGGCAGAGACGCAGGAAGTGAGTTGATAAGAGACTAGTGATAAAACTGATAATCAGATTATAATCGGATTTTCCTATTAAAAATTATAATTTTGTCAAAGTTTGATGATTTTTTTAGTCAACTTGTGACCTAGTATTTTTGTAGTCTAGATTACTCGGTCGTTTTCCAGTCAAAAATAATTCGGTTCACCTTTTCAACCAGTTGAACTGATTTTTGTACATTTTAATTATCAAATTCGTATTTCTCACACTTGAGTTAGACTGAATTCCAATTTTCAGGCCGAATTTCGATATTCGGTGTTTGCGTACTTTTGGAGCTGCAGTAACCCGAAAATTTTCAAAAATCAAGCTAGAAAAATCTAGTTTTTTTCAGCTAGACTCAAATTTTTTTAAGAAACACGAATTTGTCAATATCAGATTACTGTATGCACCTTTAAACTGAAAATTTATGAATTCCATGTCTCCCACCTTTTCCGTTTTTTTTCTCTATCTCACATTTTCAATTTTTCTAACAGATCTCGATTCTCAAACGATCACCTGAAGCATGTCCATCGGAGCACGACGTCGCCAACGTGTATGTCCTTTTCAACTTTTTTTCTGTTTAGAAATTTCTAGAAGCTTCTAAAAAAGTGCATGTTGTCCCTGTTAGTTTAAAAATCATTTGTGTGCAAATGCGCTCTATTGAACTATAGAAAATTGCATGCCTTTTTGTTCCTGTTGTGTGTATCCCTCAATGCTTAATTTGAAAATTAGTAATGTGCAATTGCGCTCTAGTGAGCATGCTGTGTAGTTTCTGAGCCATTAGTGTGATTTTCGGAGTCATCTTTTTTACTTTTTTAGACAAAAAACCACTGAAAGATTAGAGAAGTACCACTGTCACTGTCGGGGTTGTCGAAAAGAAGCGAAGAAGAGGAGATATGCTTCGAAAGGAAAAAGAAAATCGCACTGATTTCTGACTAACAATCTAATTGTCTTGTTCTCTGTGTTCAATTTTTCAATGTGTGCTAAAAAAAGTACGGAAAAATTCAAAAATTTGAGTTCAAATGCACGAAGTTTGGATTTTGAACTGCGAAATCCAGCGGAGCGCGTTTGCTCGGTGCCAACTAGTTTTTTAAAATTTTTAGACCTTTTTAGGCTTTTCAGTTGTTTTTGAAGTTTTTCTTTGATTTTTCCAAAATTTTTGTCTGAAATTTGACGAGATGGTGTTCGCGAAGATTACTGTAGGTTACTGTAGAAAGTCTTGTATTTTGTAGGTTAAAAAT